CCCCTTCGCTAAACTGGGAATGATCATGGCCATCTGTTCTTGCACATGATTCAGTTATTCTTCTTAGTGCTATCAGAACCTCTGAACCACTTATCCCACTCCCATCTATCTACTCCACCTTAACTGGCTTCTCCCACTAACTGGTAAAGTGGTGCCCAACCCACTTATTCCCTCTTCCCAACTCTCATTCAGGAACACACATCACACAACACAAGATCCACTCTCAAGGCCTATCCTCCACTGGATCTCAACCAGTGACTGATTAAGCTTACCAAAATTAATAGAAATTGGAGCAGACTCCTTTTTAGTTATGTATTTTATGATCAGAATATAAAAAGTACCCATGCTCTTTTCATTTCATTAGACTGAAAATAAAACTTAGGGTATTGAATTGTTATGAAGATATAAATGACTCCAACTGTCATGAATATCAACCTGTGAATTTTCACATTATACACTCTTCTGATCATAAACACCTAAACTTGAAGTACTATTGCTATGTTCCTAGGTCTTTGCCACTACAAGCTGAGTAAGATCTTCTTGCCTAGTCACACGCTTTCCATTAATAAACTAAACATCATGCACACATTCCTTAATAAAATAAATATTATGCACATATTCCTAAATAGTGCCAAACTGTGATACTACTTTCAAGATCAAAAGCCAGGAAGGCAAATAACAAATAATAAATTATATATAATTATCAAAACACTGAAAGAAATTCAGAACAAATGTTAGGTATTGAATTACCTGTAATAGAGAATAAGGAACTTAGAAGAAAGTTTAATTAAAAGCACTAATACAATTAAAAATAGATGGGATAAGTGGCTTCAAACACGTATATCCTCCACAATCTTGCCATCTATCGAAAATGCTATGATGAAAACAGCTAAGGTAAGGTTCATTCTGATTTAAGGATAGCTCCTATCAATCATTCCATATCCACCTAAAATGAGTGAAACTGAAAAATGCTATTTAAAATCCCTACTTGGTAGGCAAAGCAATAGGTTACCCTTTCCAATGAGCAAAGTTTCCAAAATACATTTTGAATTGAAGCCTGCACAAGCATTATTTATTTATTTAAATTTATTAGCTGCCCTACTCCAGTGGACTCCTACTCTGCCTTAAAAATCTCAACCAACAAAGCAACATATTCCACCCCCCACCCCCCCGAATAACTGATTAGCCAGTGAGGTGACATTCATCAGTCAAAGAAAGAACTGGAAAATAATGGGAAAAAAGAAAAATTGTGAGAAACCACACCCATACATGTATGAAGGTATCTATCTACATCCATATATTGTGGTATAATTTATGTTAACAATGACTCTCTCAGATAGAGATCTCTCCATCATTTGCTATTTGATCCTTGTATCTAGAGATCCTAAGAAAGTAATCTAGGAGCTATAATATATTCCAGTGGCTCTCAGCCTGTTGTCTGCAGATCCTTGGGAGGCCTCAATGTCATCACAGGGGATCCATGAAGGCTTAAAAAAATGTTATGATTTAAATTTTGAATTAAGTCTTGGTGGCCCTTGGCCATCATCTGTGGCCCCAAAAGGTATGTAAAAGGGGTCCCTGGTAAAGAAAAGGTTGAGAATCACTGCTGTAAACAAACCATCCTTCCTGGGGAACGTTTCATTCACCTGCTTGTAGGGGAATGCATGAAGCATCTCATCTAAAATCTCCCCCCTATATTCAGCAAAATGCAAACTGCCAAAAAGGGAACTGAAATATTGATGCAATTTAATTTTCATGTACTAATATGCAAATTAATATTATATCCTTATGAAAAGTTACATTACCAGTAATAAACTAAAATGTATTAAATTGACAAATCTGCTATATAAAAATCAACTGTTATCAAGTACACCATTTCCAATAATTGCAGAATAATTGAGTTCTATGTCTGCTGATTGCATTAGAAAGTCACTGAGAAACAATTTTTTCACATTTAATGGAAATAGTCATGAAATAACTGCTTACTAAATTAAGGCTATGTAGAACTTAAAAATATCCCTTAGGGTATATTTTTTATTAATATACCATACATTTGGAAGAACATTAAGTTGCAAATTAAGAAGATAATGCATACTTTGTGATGTAGAAAAAGTATATGAATTTTAAAATAAATATTCTATGCTTCAAAAGAAAAATAAAATAAAACTCCACATATCTTATCCTCTGGACAATATACAGTATGTTCAATTTTCTCTATAAAGAGAGCATAGCATTTAATGTTCAAGTTGCATTGTAATGACAGTGAACTGTTTTTCTTAAAGTAGAAATTTGTAGTAAAAAGCAGTATTAATTTCTGTTTCGATTAACTTTACCAGTATTCAAAGATCTGGAGGTTAAAGGAGTTAAAAAGTTACTATGTTTAGTTTCTAATATATTAGAGCACAAATAATGCTTTGTTCTCTTTTATTATTTTTAAGTATTCTGTGTAATATATTTCTGGATAGCATACTAAGCAGTATACAAATTAAATGAATTAAAATAATAACAGATTAACATTTACTAAAACATGTAAATCAAGGATCATGAGAAACAGACTATAATCATGAGATATCAAATGCTGTCATGAATCACATCCTTCAAGAATGTATCTAAATTAGACTTTGGTTGGCCAAACCAAGTGCCAGTATAGCAAGCATCTTTTTTTTTTTTTTTTTTGTAATGATCAATGAATATCTACAGAATGTAGTAATTATGTTCTTCAATGAAGTTTGGCAAAATAAACTAGGTGCTTATTTAAAAAAAAATAATTAAAAATATAATTGGTGTCTGTATAACTCTTAAGCATGGAGTACAAAAAGTAATCAAACATTTTTCCCTTTCTTCTTTCATACCTTTAGGACAGGGGTGTCAAATTTAAGGGCCACAGGCCGGATCCAGCTCACGATGTGGTCAGATCCGGCCAGCGGGACCGTCCTAGTCTACCCAATGTAAAGAAAAAGTTCAGGCCAGCCTGGCTTCAGCCCAGTCTACCCAATGTGAAGAAAGATTGGGCCAACCTGGCTTCAGCCTGGTCTACCCAATGTGAAGAGGAAACATGCCAGCAGTTTGGGAAGTGGCATCAAACTAGCCACGCCCACCCAGCTGGCCATGCTCACCCAGTTGAACACTCACGCCTGGCCTCCCGAGGTCAACCACAGCCCTGATGCGGCCCTCAATGAAATTGACTTTGACACCCCTGTCCTAAAGGTATGAGTCATCCCATAAAACTGATTGGCAGGAAATTTCATACAGATAAAAACATACTTTTATATAAAGTGTCTTATTCAGGGAAGAATCAACAACTACTGGATACAAAAACTAACACTCATGAGAAGCAAAATGTACTGAAATGCATTATTACTTTCAAGTCAGACAGCTAGTTTGGTGTAGCGATTAAAGAATCAAGGCTAGAAGTCAAGATACTGTGAGTTCTAGTCCTGCCTTAGCCATGAAAGCTGGCTGGGTGACTTTGGGTTCCCTCAGACCAATCTACCTGACAGGTTTTCCTGTGGGAAAATAAAAAGAGGATGGAGCGTTATGTACATTTGCCACCTTGACTTACTTATAAAATACCGGTAATAAAGGTGGGATAAAAATCTCATAAGTAAGTCCTGCTTGCAGGCTTGCTTGAAAGAACTGGCTGGTTGCCATGGGCAAGAAAATATTTAATTCAGCAAGATTCTTCTCCTGCTAAGGTGAGTGCCCTTTATTGCCACAAATATGATAGTAGAGATCAAAGAAAGATGAGCAATAATAGTTCCACTTACAATACATGTGCCCTCCCTTTCTAAAATGGCTAGTAATCTTACTGCTTCTCCTAACATTTGTTGCCTATTTTTTGTTGTTCATGTTATTTCCATTTCTTTCTCCCCCCCCCCTTATATTGTTTCCTCTTCAGCTAGGAAGTTTCAAGTTTTCATTTACAGGTAACTGCAAACTTTGATCAGTAATATTATGACATCTATTTTCATAAATTATATTATTAATAATTGTTACATTGCAATTATTGTCACGCAAAACCTGCCACTTCTAAAATTGGTTTAGGTTCTTATTTACTGGTTAATACAAACTTTGATCACTAACATTATGATAGTTATTTTCATAAATTGTTAGCAGTTGTTACTTTGCAATTATAATTATGCAAAATCTGCCACATCTAAAATTGGTTTCAATACCTGCATGTACATTCATACCATTCCGGACTGGATGAGAATATATGCATATATTTTACTGCAAAATAAGACATTTTATCTGGAATAGATGATTAAAATTCTGAAGCTCAAAGAGTTTTATTACTAAAATGATATGTTTTATTTATTTATTTATTTATTTATTTATTTGATTTATTTGATTTGTCAGTTGCTTACAAGATAATAGGTATAAGTATATACATAGTTATGAATACATGAAATGGGTACATATAAGAAAAATAAAAGAAACAATAGGACAGGGACGGTAGGCACGTTGGTGCGCTTATGCACGCCCCCTACAGACCTCTTAGGAAAGGGGTGAGGTCAATAGTAGACAGTCTAAGGTTAAAGTTTTTGGGGTTTGGGGAAGAAACTACAGAGTCAGGTAGAGTATTCCAGACATTGACTACTCTGTTGCTGAAGTCGTATTTCCTGCAATCAAGTTTGGTGCGGTTAGGATGTTGCTCAAGGATGACTTTGTTGCTCAAGGATGACTTTGAAAAGTAAACAATTCATTAGTGAAATGGGAACAGATTATTAATTTCAAAAGTACCAAACTGACCTTTCAAAAAAATCAAGCATCTGCGTTCAGAAATACTCTCAGATTTTACTACTCAGAAATAGAGAATGCAGTGCTGAGAATCTTTTTGGTGCTCTATCATAAAAAGACAGAAACTTGAAGAAAAGAGATGAAAATTGGAAGAGTTTTAAAGTATCTTCAACTTCAAACTGCACAGGCACACTATGAAGGGAAATATATGAGGGCTGTAGGAATATGCATTAAACTAGATTATCTCTCAAAAAACATACCTGGCTAAATTGAATGCATCATCGATCAAACCTGCACGATTACTGACAGAGATTACCTATAAGGGTAGAAGAGAAAAATTGAAGACCTTAAGATGATAAGAAACTGGAAGCGTTTCATGTATTCAGGCAAGAAAGTGAAATGAGCTTACTTTATGGTTTCTCATAAGTTGGTCAATTATCAATCTCCAGTTTCTAATGTCATAGTTAACCCTAAAGTAGCCAGCTTGATTGATGTTTCCAAGCAGCCAAGTACCTCCATTAAGATATGCAATTCTGTGATGTTCTGTAAACAAAGTAGAGTGGTAAGAGAAATCAAGTTATTTTTCAGAATGTTTTATATTTTGAAATAACCGATCATAAGAAGAAAAAAACCTACAAAATATTCCATAACAAAAAAGATCACCCACTCTTTATAGGAGTAGTTGGTGTCACTATAATTTCCTATCTAACAAAGAATCTGTTAAATATACAATAGCTATAAATTTCCTCAATTTACGGAGGAAATAAATAAGACAAGGTATATTGCTATAAAATGCAATTATCATGTGAATCCTTGATTTTAAAAAATGAAACCTGCTGTTATCTGCTTCATTTTTCTCGTAAGGATGATACCAATATGGTTCTTAGGCAGATTAACCACTAGCACACCTGGATTTAGGATTGAATCTTAACATTCAGCCAAGATGAGATAAAGACTTTATAAGATAATTTGAATGAGTGAATATTATTTTACTAATACATCCCCTAATGGTGATGTGCAGCATTATCACACCATGGTGTTAGCCAGTTCTCAGAATTTTCCACAGAGGAGATTAAAAATGAAGTATTTTCACTGCACAGAACATGCACAAATAATATTTATCACCTCAAAATAGAATAGCCAAAGCTCATCTTATGATGGTTTTATTACATTAAAAGGAATAAAGGCAGAGCCACCAATGCTTGTTCAACAGTAGGAATCACAGTTTAGGCTGAAATATAACAGGACTAGATTATAAACAAAAGGCTGTTATATTCATGATTTTTAAATTAAGACTATATTTTTATATATCACAAGTACTCCATATGCAAATACCATGAAATAAATACTTCTCTGAGCATTCACTGCATGTTTTCAAGCAGTTTTGAAAGTAAGAAGGAAGTTTACAGGAAGATTTTGAACATATCCATTGATTCAGCTGATTTATAGCAATATACAACATTTTTCTCCCAATTATTATTTTTAATGTTTAGCAAACAGTGGTAAATTATTTCTCACTTTTAACATAACAGTCCAAAAGAATCTAGCAGAGTCTCGATTAAATATTTTGCCTGGGTAAAATAACTTAAATCAGAAATTGTACAAGTTACTTTATGTGGATGTATGTGGGAGGGTCAAACATAACAGCATGTAGAAACTTTCTTGTGAAATGGTTCATTTTTTTATTTGTGATATTTTAAAACCACATATACTGTCAGAGAAACAGTCAGAGAAGCGTATAGTTTCTCTGACAGTAAGACTTATAGCTATATGGTTCTGTTAGTGGCCTGTAGATAACTAAACTCCCCATAGGTCCTTAGGAAAAGAAATAACTGGCAACCCTCTCACAGCTACCAAAATGATGATCATAGTCTTAGGTGTTTTCCTCGGATTTCCCTCAAACCATAGTCCTTTTCCCATTTTGTTGATTCTCATTTACCCAGGATTCTTATCAACTTGAGTGATCTTCAAATCACCCAGGACTTGCATATCTTCAGCAATCTAAAACAGTCTGAATCCCACTTTACTCATTAACTAACTTCTCTCATTCCATTTCTCAGCCCAACAAAACTTCCTGCTAGCTCCTTAATCCATTGCAATTTACTCCATCCTGTTTCCATGACAGACTCTCCCTCCCTCCCTTGCTCTCTCCCTCATTCTCCCCCCACATCTCTAGGAGATCACAAAACAGGATGACAGCCATTTTTTATATCCTTAATTTTGTCACTTCTTTACAAAAACATCACTAAGAGATAGGGTTACCAAGGCGGTATAAATAATCTTCCTATTACAGTATAAATAGATTATTGCATAATTCCATATGCATGAACTGTTAAAAGTAAACTATTGATTCTTAGCTATTTTGAGGAAAACAAATGCTGCTGACATTTTATACAGCTTTTTTATTTCAGTCAATTGTTGATTGGCAACTCCATTATAAGTACCCTGGTAGCTACGAGGGAGGGGAAATCACATGATCACTATAATTTTACAAGTTCAACTCTGTAAAGTACAAAAAAATGTGACCACAGGATGCTGGTCATAAATACACTTTAGTGGCAAAGCACAAAAATGATCATGTGACTGCAGGACTCTTGACAATCATAAAAGCAAGGATTGGTCACAAAGCTTTTTTTAAAATACTATCATAATTTTGAATGGTTGCTAAACAAGGAGTCAGTAAACTAAGACTACCTTATAACATTTGTTTTCTTATTATAGTAAGATTTTTAATCAAAATGTATAATTTATTATATTTAAGAAGTGTCATAAAATAAAACTAGCAGAACAGAAAATACAAGCATGCAACCTCATTTTTGCTTTGAATCAAAGTTTATTTGATTAATTTGGAACATGAAAGCCATCAAGAATACAAACAACAATTCAGTAAGATAATGCTTACATCAACAGCTCATTGCAATGAGGTGTAGAGATAATAGCTATAGGTTGAGCAAGGAGCAGCTACCATCAGTGGCCATGATCTGAGATAAAACCCCTTCTTATATAGTCTTTTCTCTACATCTCTTCTGTTCCTCTGGAAGATTACCAGGGCAACTTCCTCATTCACTGTGCCACCCTGTTGCTTGGCACTTATTTGAAAAACTCTTGTCATCTTCATTTTTTGGTTCCATATTCTCGTAATGCAGAGAGTTATGTCAAAAATAGCCGCAAAACTGATTGAATTGCAACTATTAGTTTTACACAATTGCAGATTACAAATTTCCCTTAGTTTGCATCTTTTACTAAATTAGTGCTTTAATATACTATCATATAAGAAGCAATAAAATCCAGGTTTAAGGCTAGGAAGCATAGACACAGGTAGAGAGTTAAGGGTCTCACCTCACAAAAGCAAGAAACAATTCTAGTCATTTTAACCTCTTGACTTCAGTACAGCAGAGATTAAATCATGTGTTAAATCATTTTAAACATAATATTATTTCAAACTCTTTAAGTAAGCTTGAAGGGTTATAAAGTATTCATTAATAGGAGTAAGACTTCTCTGTGTTCTATTTCATCTCCACTAGATAGACCAGACCAGGACTCTACAGGAAGGGTAAAAGTACTTTAATTGAAATCACCTATAATAACAGAATCTTGAAAGTCTGATTCTGCTATATCTCTTCCTCTTTATACTCCAGTGATTCAGGGTGGTATCTGTTTGAGACATTTCCAAATGTTACCTCATTTCTTTGGACTTAAAATGTTTCAGCTCCATTTGTCTCTTCCATATTTTCATCAAGCTATATTGAATATTCTACTGAGTGGTGTGGGAGCCTAGAGATGGAGCTCTTGCCTCATAATCAGGAGGCTGTGAGTTCAATCCTAGGTAGGGGCAGATATTTCTCTCTCTGGGCACACTGAGAATATATCTGCTGAACAAAACTCCACATTGGTGACAAGAAGGGCATCTGGCCAGGGGTGGGATAAAAAAAATCTCAGCAACTGGTTCTCTGCCTGGTTGCTGGATGGGCGTGGCCATGGTGGGTGTGGCCTACCAGAACTTCCGGTTTGGCAGTTTTTTGCCTTCCCCAGAGTCCAGAGGCTTCCCTCAGGCCTCTGGGAGGGCAAAAATGGCCTCCCCAGCTACCTGGAGGGCCTCCGGAAGCCGGAAACAGGACCATTTCCAGACTTCCAGAACAGCTGTTTTTTGCTTTCCCCAGAGTCCAGAGGCTTCTCTTGGGCCTCTGGGAGGGTGAAAACAGCCTCCCCCAGGCTCTGGACAGCCTCCAGAAGCCAGAAACAGGCCTATTTCTGGACTTCTGGGTTTTTGCCTTCCCCAGGGTCCAGAGGCTTCCCTTAGGCCTCTGGGAGGGCAAAAATGGCCTCCCCTGTGGTCCAGAGGGCCCCCAGAAGCCAAGGTAGGCTCATTTCCAGACTTCCAGAAGGCCCATTTTTCGCTTTCCCAGAGCCTCCACGCAGACTCTGCACTTACCTACATTCAAAACGGACCGCATGGAGAGTCGTGGGAGGGGCGGGGTGGAATGAGCAGGGCCAGCCGGTCAGTTCAACTACCGGTTCGGCGAACCAGATATAAATTTAACATCTTGTTCTCCCGAATCGGTCCGAACAAGTAGAACCCCACTCCTGCATCTGGCCATTAAAACACTCTGCTAGCTCCATTCAGTTGCCCAGACTCCACCTCGCAAGGGATTAAACGAAGATGATGATACTGAATATTCTACTAACACTGTGTGCACTTTGAAAATGATTCAGAATTCTTTGAACATTCTAATTTTTAATTTTTTTCCACTGAAAGTATTTCAGTTTGTTTTTCATTTGAATTGTACAGCTTATATGTTATATTAAAGGTAGAAAAATTCTGAATTGATTTATCGTGGTCTGCTTTTTTTTACATCTCACAAACCTGGCATTTTAACAGGGGAGTGAGTAGGTTTTTCTATATCCATTGTATGTCTATATGCAATGTTCTGCAGTCAAGTGACCAGAATTTATGATTTTTTGTTGTTGTTGGAAACTCATTTACTTGTGGTTTCCAGTAAAAATGCCCATTGGGTAAAATGTGTTGCTTACTGATCACACATTTGCTTAACAACTATGGCATTAACCACTGCAAAAAAGATTTTGAAACAGGTTGTGGTCATGTGGTGATCCACTTAATGACCACCATGACTTACAACTATAATTGTGGGCTCAATTATGGTTGTAAGTTGAGGGCTACCTGTTTTTTTACAGTTAAGGACATGTTTTATTTTGACTTATGCCTACAAA